TGTTGTCACCCTAAGTGGGGAATGGACTGGAGGGCTAGGGGCTGTCTGGAGGGACCAGATGTCCTTGACTAGAGATGTCACTGGGCGGGTCATCCACTTACTTTCCAGCTGTGGACAGGAGTTCACAACAGGCCAGGTGATTGCCCAAAGTCACCAGAAAATTCTGGGATCTGAATTTGAGTCCTCACTCTTGCTGAGTTTTTTTCACCTCCTTGAACTACCTTTCAGACTCCCAAAGAATACTAGGAACACTTGACATATGCAAATCAGCGTGCCCTGGCATGAATTCGTGTAACCTACCCCACACCGCTGCCACACTGTAGGTACTCTTACCATTAGTATTCACTCTTACAGAGAGGAAACTGAAACAGTGCCTTAAAGTAACGTCCAAGGTCACACAGCTGCAATGTGGCAGGGTCAGGATTAGAACAAGACAGCAGCACAGAGGTGCTGCGCAGGGGCTTTTAAGTCTCCCTGCAGTGTGGGGGATAGGAGGGTGTAGACATTGGGGGTGGGTGGGAGGGAGACCATGGAGGTGTGGAGCACCAGGAACTCTCAGGAGACTAATTAAGTGTGCACATGCTGTGTACCACTCACTCTCCCTCTCTGTGCCTCAGGTTGTCTCACCTGAGACATGAATGCAAAACGTCCAGGGTTTGTTCTCTCCCAGTCTGCTTTTCTCATTCCTTGATCAACTCGTCCATCCCTGCCACATACACACAGAGACTAAGGCAGGGAGAGCCAGAGCTGGGAACAGACGCCATAAAGAGGACAGGGGAGGACCAACACTTCCTCCAAACCTAGCCAACTGCTGGCAATGCTGGCGGCATCGCCCTTCCTGAGCTGGGGTTGGGCACCAGGCTCCCATCAGTCTCTCCAGGCTCCCAGACCTTGTTTAGAAAATGTCTCTTTGGGGCCTGCGTCACCAGATCCTGGGTGGTCTGGGGATCCCCAGTCACTGCCCCACACTGTGCTGGGAGAGGAGGGGGACAGCAGTTGCTGCCGACTCAGCTACTTGCCCAGCCCCTGGGTCCCAGCCCCCCACCTATACCTGAGGGTCTGGAGCTGGACTCAGGCCCCAAAGAAAGGCAGCCACTCTTTCCAGAACCTCTTCCTCTACACTGCATGCAGGCAGTGGCCCAGGTTCAGGCTTCCTAGAGCGTTTCTCAAGATGGGCAGCACTTGTGGTGCTGAGCCAGGCACTAGATGGACTGCTTATGTCAGCTGTCATGACGCATGGCAGCAGCATCACACATCTTTTCATGTGTCCTGCTCTTTGGTGCTCAATCCTGTGCTTCCAGCCCTGCTACAGCTGCAACTCACAGCCGCCTTCTTCCTGGCCACACTGCTCATTGGTCTAGCTGTGCGCCTGTTCTGTGGCAGCCATTAGCCCCTGACTACCTCCACTCCTGCTCCTGAGCCTGTAGATGAGGAGCCACCACCACAGTCACCTCCCAGGCCTCTTTCCCCCACAGCCCAGCCCTTTAACAAGGGCCTTGTGAGAAAAGCTGGGGAAGTGAGAGCTAGCAGTCAGGTTAGACTCTGGAGATGGAGGATGAAGGAGTACCGCTAGGAGACATGAAAAGTGGGTTTGGTTAAGGCAACACCACCACCCACCCCAGTCCCGTGTTCTTCCACACTGAAGAATTGGGAGCATCAATACCCATCCCTGATGGGGAAAGTTCCCGGCCTTATCCTACATGAATATAGTTACTTTAAGTGGGGTGTAGGTGACAGGTGGCTTTACTTGGCTACTGTGACCACCCTCCAACCCACTGCCCCCAGGCCTGATACTGGCTACTCCAGCCCAGCCTCCATGCATGACTTCCCTTTAAGGGATACATCCTTCACACATGGTCATGCAGGAAGACCCAATTGCCACAAACCATATAACCACACAAACTGTTCTGTCAAGCTCCCCCAGTTCCAACGGTGCCTGGAGATATGTCCCCTCCACAGCACCACTTCCCTTATTCTGGACATACCAGAGAGGCCTATGGCTTAACTCATCTCAGGGATTATTCCCCTGGGCCCTGGCTTAACTCAGCACTCCTGACGCCTCTGCTCCCCCCGCCCCCCAAGGACCCTCTTGAAGCCTGATGCCACCTAAGGCTCTTAGGCAGTACCATCCTTCTCACTCTGGGTCCTGTCTGACTAATAGTGTCCCAACTCCCAACAGCCTGGGGAAGCTCTGCTCAGCGTGAGCTGGAACCAGGTAAAGGAACTGTATATAGCTCCATCAGTATCTTTAACTATGGAAGCAATAAGATGTTAATAAAGTGTTGTAGGGTGCTTCCTACAACCCAGTCACACAAAAAAAAAGCAGCAACTGAGACCCTCAAGGCAGCCGTCCACCTCAGGTCAGTTGGGCCCTGGCCAGGCCTCAGTTTCCTCCTCTGTAGGAGGAGGTGTCAGTCTCTATACCTGCCCCTTGCTCCCTGAGGGTGGAAGACTGGGACTGCCCCTTCATTTGTAGGCATGTGGATGACTGGCTGCGTCCTCCGAAGGCATGGAGTCTACCTGATAGACACTTTGTTCTGGGAGCCAGGATGGATTCGGCAGGGCCCAGGTCTTCTGAGAGGCCCTTCCAGGCCTTTAAGTCCCTGGCAGTGACTTAAGAAGCCAGCTTGAGCTGGAGGAGTGGCTCAAGTGGTAGAGTGCATGCCTAGAAAGCATGAGGCCCTAAGTTCAAGTCCCAGTACCACCAAAAAAAGGAAAAAGCAGCTCAGCTCTGATCACTTCACTGGTCCATTCAGGAACCAGCCCACCCTCCCACTGCCTCCTGGGCATCAGCCCCATCCCTTGTTTTGGTGTGCAGTTTCCCCAGCCTCTTCTCGATGGCCATATTAGCAACAGCTGCTATGTCCTGATGTCAGATCAGGTCCTTAATTCTCCCACTCTGCACCTACTTCTGAGTCAGGAGCAATTTTATTTCCATCTCACAGATGATAATCCTGAAGACCTAAGAAGCCACAGACATCACTGTAAGTGACAGAGTGATTGAGTTCAGCTCCTCCATAGTGTGAATGTCTGAAAATGCCTGTCTGGCTTTCTGGTCTGCCACTCCAAGCCCTTCAATCTAGCTCCCTCTGTCACCTTGACACTTTGTCCTTTGAGGACCAGAACTCAAGCACTGAACACCTCCATGGAGAGCTCCCCATCTCTCCTTGGCACCAACAGAACTGGCTTCTGCTGCCTTTGGACTGGACCCTCACCAACTGCCCGTGAGCCTCAGGGCCTCCAGGCTTAACCAACATTGAGAATGCAGCCCCGGGCTACAAAGGTGAGTCAGGCGCCCCCTGCAGGCCTCTCAGGACAGGGCCTCGGTGCGACGACATTGGTGTGACCAGCTTTGGTCAGTTGAGGCTCCTGTGTGCCTTGTATGGTGACAGGCTTAGCAAGGGTGGGGACAGTCTCTGGGCAAATATCTTTGGGAAACAAAGTTAGGTGGTATATTTCGAGAAGGATGTGATGGTCATGGTTCCTGCTCCCCGCCCCCCGCCCCCAGTTCCTGACATTCTCATCCTTGTGTGGGCTCCCCTACATGGGAACAGGGCTGGCTTACACGATCAGTAGAATATGGTGGCAGTGATGATTCCCCACTGTGACATGTGGTTATGGAAGACAGGGGCTTCACGCTTGGTCTCTCTTTTGGAGGACTCGCTCTCTTGTCACAAGAGACCTGACAGAAAGGCCCCAGAGAGAGAAACCCATGCCTCCTGCCAAATAGCCACTTGAGTGGGCTTGGATCAGGTCCGCCAGACCCAATCGGTCTGAGATGATCGCAGCTCTACAGATTTCCTAACAACAACCTCACAACAGAGGACAGACCCAAGCCAGAACCACCCAGCTCCTGACCCACAGAAATTGTGGGCGTGAGTAAACGTCTGTTGTTATAAGCTGCTAAACTGAGAGATAATTTATTAAGCAGCAAGTGCTTCTCAGAGCACTTCATGCTAATGTAAATCTTCAGAAAAGAGGACATACAGTGAAACATTCCTCTTCGTTATTTGGCCAAGGAGGCCTTCTTTTTTTGATAAAGAAAACTCAGGTCTACAGTTCCTACAATTAGATGGAACTTCCAGTCTCCATTTGTCTCACGGGCCAGTCACTTATTCTTCCAGAACCTTAACATTCCCCGTTTATGAAGTAGAAATACACCAGCTGCCTCCTTTACAAAAGTCATTAGCACAGCCCAGATGGGCAGGTTCTGGGCTGCTTGGTGAGTGTGAGTGTGTGTATGTGAAGTGTAGCCTACCCAGGTGCTAAGAGGAACCTCACTCTGGAGGTCCAGGAGTGGTACAGGTGGCAGGTAGGTCTCCTTTCCTTCTCAGGCTGCTTCTCCAGTACTGAGCAATAGTGTCTGCTCACTTGTGCATAGCTCTGAGCTGGGAGGCATAGACCTGAGGTTTCCGTGATCCGAATGCAAGAGTCTCCCAAAGAGATGGCCCTGCTCTCTTTCTCTGCTCCTGTCCCTATCCAGTGGCCACAAGAGTAAAAATATCCTGTCTCCCTTTTCCATTTGTTCCCTGTCCTCCTCTGTATCCAGTAAACACCGAGGCCAAGTTTCAGGGTCACTGATGGGTGGGAAGCCCACTGAAGCTGTGAATATCCCTCCACGTAAAAAGAAGACAGTTTAAAAAAAAAATACTATTATCAGAATACTTTATTATCGAGTGACTGGTATTAGCTTTTTGTCTGGGCCTTAATATTTCAAAAACCATACACCAAACCCAGGCTTCTCCACCTAGCTCTGCTGTATCATTTTCTTAAAAAAAAAAAAAAATAAGGAAGAGGAAAGAGGAAAAGAAAGAAAATATATCTGTATTGAAGGAATTATAAGCCAAAGTGCGTCTTTCTGGTTTTGTCCATATACACACATTGCACCATACATAAATAATTACATTGTAAAAAGGACTCCATAATTACAAGTATAATATATATTTCCATATAATATATAAAACTTTATATTAAATCTAGGTAGATGATATGGGGTTCGTCCGTGGGGCGGGCTGCCCCTATCTGTGGTTGTTGAGGAGGATCTCCAGCCAGCAGGGGCAGGAGGTGATAAACTGCCGCGAGTAGCAGGGTCCCCAGCCCTTGGCGAAGCTGATGCGCGCGCTGTGCGGGTCGTAGGGGCCGTCGGCGGCGTCGGGCTCTGCGCGAGGCAGCCCCGAGCGTTCGAAGTCGAACACCTTGATGGAGTAGCCGGGCGGCACCTTGCGCACGACCAGGGTGCGGCCGCCGGGCACGTCCAGCGTCGGGGAGTTGACGAAGATGGGGTGCTCGCCCCGATTGTAGGCCCACACGCCGTCGGGCTCCTTGCTGAGCAGGATGCCGAAGCCGATTTTGCTGCGTGTGCGCCGCACCGCCTCACTGCGCTGCTCCAGGTTGAGCTGGCCCAGGCAGAAGCCGCTGCCCTGAGGTAGGTCGTAGAAGATGCTGACGGCCTGCTCGCACACCGCGTAGAGGCGGCCCACCCGCGTCCGGTGCTCCCAGTACGCCACGCTGCACCAGTGGCTCGGCTTGCTGGCGTCGGGGGACATGCTGGCGTCTGCAGGGCAAGCACAGGCATGCGGTTATTGGGGGTGGGAGGTGGGCTCTGCTCGCTGCATGGCTGGCCAGGGATGGGACAGGTGCCCAGCGGTCCCCTGACGTGGGAGCACCTGCTCTGCACCAGGTTGTCTTTGGCCGCCCCTTCCGCCCAGCGCCCCACACCCATGCAAAGGTGGTGAACCTACAGCGTGCAAGCCAGGGTACCTACTGTGTGCTAGGTGCTGTGATGCACTGACACGAACTACACCTAGCTGCCGCCCACAAGAAATTTTACATGCCTTCAGGACAAGCATCCACATACACCAATGGAGCACCCACGCCCCTATGCACCATACTCCTCTATCTACAAGGACCTTGCTCTGTGAGCCACCTTCTCCTGTTCTCACAGCCAAAGCACCCACAGACTGCCCAAGGTGCACAGCTAGCGTGGCCCAGCCAGGATGTGAGCCTCTCAGTCCAAACCTTGGCCTGAGTAGGAGGTAAGCAGAGGGCTGTGTGTCACCACCTAGAGGGACTCCAGCACGGGGAGGGGGTGGGGATCCCTGTCTAGCCTGGGGTGCTGCACTGGCCTTGTTATAAACAAGACTACCTGGCTGGGTGTGGTGACACATGCCTGGAGTCCCAGCTGGGCTGAGGCAGGAAGACTGTTTGAGCCCATGAGTTCAGGACCAGCCTGGGCAACATGGCAAGACCCTGTCTCAAAAAAAAGACCCTGCCTGATACTCCTCCTCCCAGGAGCCCCACCCCACCTCTACCTAAGTTGATTTTCTTGGCAGAAAACAGGTTTTCCCCAGAACTGTACCCACCCTGTGCAATAGCACAGTGCTTACAAACAAACAAACAACTCAAAACAACAACAAAAAACTCTGCTCCTCTTGGGTTCTGGTATGTGCAGCTTCTGTCTGGGCCTCAGTTTCTCTACTATATGGTAAAGGGGTGGCGTTCCTGAAACCATGCCTTACTCCAACTTGGGGCCTCTTAATATGCATGAAGACCAGACGCAAGGGGTCCTGTCTCCAGGGCCACCCCATGCACCCTGCTCTCAGGGGCAGCCAGCCTTTCAAACTCCAAAACCTCCAACATCCCATCTTTCCTTTGACTCAGGGCTTTGAGAGGAAGGTGGGTACCACTGCCCAGCGAAGTGACATAGTGACATGACTACCACTTTGCTGTAGGCCTGGTGAGAGCACAACCTGAACCTTATGGCTCAGGTTCTCTGCAGGAAATGATTCAGCAGCCAGGTTAAGTGGAGGGAGAGAACACTTTCCCACAGCTTCACCTGGAAGCTCAAGGAGCCAGCCCTACTGCCTTGATCCTAGCCCTGCCTCAAGCCTGGAGCAGCGTGGGGGTGGGGGTGGGGCAGAGCTTCCAACATCCACTTACACACAAAGGCCACTTGGCCCCTGGGACGAACCCCTCACCCTCTACTTGGCATTTAGGTCCCCAGGTCTGCAAGGGAATAAGCTCAGGACTGAGCCTTTTGCCTCAGTCTCCTCTAGGGCCCTCTTATTCCAGCTGATAGTCAAGGGAGAAGAGGAAAGGAAGCAATTCCTTGCTCTTTACTGACCCACTCCTTAGCCAGTGGGCACCAGCCAATCCCAGCAGGTGGGCAGCTGAAATAGCAACAATCTGAGCTCCAATACTCCAAGTCACTGGCCCCTCTACCCATCCATCTGGCACAGGTCTGGGAGACCAGAGGACCAGGAAAGCAGCACCATGCCATCCTGGCCATGAAATTCCAGCACTGCTCACCACCAGCAAGAATTTCTTCAGTGTGCCAAGCTCAGTGAGGGGGGAGGCAAGAGGTGCCTGGAGTATGCTGCAAGAAGGAAGGGCAACAGGCATCACTGAGCCAGACGCTTTTTTCACAACAGCCCATTTCATAGGTGAGGAAACTGAGGCCCAGCGAATACTGGAGCTGGAACCCAAGACCTCACGCATGCTAGGTAAGCACTGTACCACTGAGCCACACCCCAGCCCAAACCAATACACTTTTTAAACAGGGGGTTGTGGATGATACACGGTTCTCACTGCTTAATTTCATCTTGTGTGGACTCATTTTCTACTTTATTTCTGTTTCTTACATTGTGAACCAAGGAAAACAGTCTACAGAGTGACCTGCAAGAGCCTCTGATGACTTTGTGATGAGAAGATGGCGCTCCAGGGGGTGTAGAGTGACACATGGCACAGGTGGCAGAGCAGGAACCAGAACCTGGGACCCCAGAATTCTACAATAACCCTTCTCACATGAGCCAAGTTTTCAGACAGACCTAAGACTACCACCACTGACCAGATGCACAGCCACAGATAAACTTCTAAGTGTCCCCAAGCCTCAGTTTCCCTCTCTGTAAAAGTAACTGATCCATCATGAGTATCTTGCCCACACAAGCTCCCTCTGGATTTTCTGGACATTCCACAGCAAACCAACTGTGTGCAAAAAACCAGTGTCTGATCAACTGGCCCCAGCACTGTTTTGGCCCTTCGGGGTATGGACAGTCATGGCCCAGAGGTCTCCATCACAGAAGGTTTCAATAGGCCCTTGAGGGGGGCAAAGCCTTTGCAAACCCTAAAGTGCATTAGCTCCCAGCCTTGTGTCTGCAATGCCAGAGGCACACAGTAAGCGAGGGAGGGAAAGGAGAAATAATTGAATTCTCCAACAAAAATGAGCCGTGCAGTGGCTGTGTTCCCACATACGAATCTGCATATGGACCCTGATGTCTCGTGGTGTAGCCAACACACCAATGTGCTCTCTGCAACACAGCAGGTGAGGAGGCAGGTGGCTCTAAGCCCAGACACCCTTGTACTTCCCCAATCCACCCACCACATCTCTTGTCCCTAGTCTGAGCTGCCCGGCAGCACGTAAGGGGATGCTCTCTTTCAAAAGATCTTTTTCTCCTGCTGGCTCCAAGGCTGTGGTCCTGCCATCTCCCACAGCCATCACCCTAATTAGGAACCAGCTCTTTAATAGCAAATAAATACCAGGGAGTCAGACCCGAACAAACAACATCAAAGATGACCGAGCCCTGACCGAAACTCCCGCTCAATGCCCCCTGCTCAGGGCCTGGCCTAGTTCCCAGCCAGGCTCTGGGTCCCACTGGGAGGGTTTGGTGGGGAGGAGGAGAGGTGCTGGGCCTTGGGGAGTCAGAAGTCCAGCCTCCTGGCCTGGCTCCTGCAGGTCACCTCCCCTCTCTGCCTCAGTGTCCCATGTGAACAACAAGGGGGATGGCATGACTTTAACTTCCAGCTCTAAACCTCTGAGATTCATTGAGTGCTTCCAGGAGCTCTCGTCAGCCCCCTCTGGAAACCTCTCAGATGACCGTCACAGGATGGACACACAAAACCTAGCAAGGCACATTTACCCATGGATGCTACTCAGACATGACACACAGCAATGTAGAAGAGCTTCAGGCGTACCCTGCCTGAGAGAGAGAGAGATAGAGAGAGAGAGAGAGAGAGAGAGAGATTGAGATTAAGCATCACCAAACATTTAAGCTGTGCATTTCACTGTAGGTATGAGACCTTTGAAAAAATTTAAAGTGGCAATGTGCTGTGGGCCAGCTCCCTGTCTGTCCCAGAGTAGCTGCAGCAGGGCTCCCAGGGGGACAGCCCCTGTTACCTCCCAGAGGCACCCACATTCCTGCCACCAGAGGGTGGTGGTGGCTGCCTGCACAGGACAGGAGGTGACAGCCCCAACAAAGGCCTCTCCCCTGAACAGAGCTGCCAGGCCAGTGGCTGGTGGGCCTTCCTCCTGGCCTCTTTGCCTAGCCAGAGTACTCAGAACCCAACATGTAATTTTGTGTGTGTGTGTGTGTGTGTGTGTGTGTGTGTATGGAGGGGTGCTGGAGCACCGAGGGGGGCCGACAGCAGTCTGGGGGAGGAGGACAGAGCAATCAGCAGTTTTCTGCAAAACAAAGGGCAGGAGCACTCCTATGTGCTCCCCTGGGCTATGTGCACCAAAGCCTACAGCACTGCAGCTTGTTCTATGGTGCTTCCCCTTGCCTTCTGGCCAAACCACCCTGGAACTGCCATTCCCTGAAGGAATCAGATGTTAGATCTGAAGGCTTAGAGCATTCCCAGAAAAATGAGCTGGGGGCCACCATGCTCTATGCTTTGCTGGCCTTCACACCCACCTGGGCCACAGCAACTTCCATGCTCTCCTGGATTGAACAAACAGATCTGCTCAGCCCCTAGAGAAATGTTGAGAAATGAGACTTGGGCATTCAAAAGACCAGAAAGGTTAAGTGACTTGCTCAGGTTTACACAGCAAGTTTGGCAACAGAGCTGGAAAGGAGCCTAGATTGCTCTTAGCCCTTGTCACAGGGCTACACAGGGCCTCTCACCCTCCCTTCTGTCCCATGTTATGCTGGTGGCTTTCATCTGTGGCTCCCATGCCTGGGAGTAATTACACAGCCCTGCATCTGGTTAGCCTCCACCCCTTTAAAGTCCTGTTTGACCATTAGATAAGTAGTTTTTTGTTATCAAACTTGGAGAAAAGGAGTTTCTACTTGACACTCCTTTATCGTTGTGAGCTGCAGAAAGGCTTCCAGGTTTTGCAGCAAGTGTAGAAGCCACAGTGATAACTGGAGGCTTTCTTCCCTGTGGGGAGGAAAGGCCAGCCTTCCCCACTGGCTGCGTGGCAGCAGGGAAGGATGTGGCTAGGCTGTGCCAATGGTTAGTAGCTTAGAGTGAGGCCCAACTGACAGGAGTTTCCTCTCATTCACTCTCACCCACCACCCCAGCCCCCACCCCAGCCCCAGCACCTTTGGCTCCTGGAGGAAGAAGGGCTTCCAAGAGGAAGTTCCTAATCGGTCATTATCACGGGGCGGTCTGGCCATAGAAGCTGCCTGCACAGGGCCTACCTCAGGGGCCTTTTCAGCTGCTGGTCTGGAGCTGGGGACTGTGCTCACCACCACCCTCCAACATTGTGGTTCAGCTGTTGTGCTGGGGGTGTGTGAGAATGACAGAGGAGTTGGAGAGAGGCTGGGCAGCATGCAGTCC